TTACTTAGATTGATTTTGGGACTTGGATACTAAAATAGCGCATTTTTCTCTGTAACATCCTCAAATGGCATGCATACGCAGTCGCATTCAGAATCTCGCCACTCGAGGTCTTACTTGCTACTACATTCTTTTTATCCATCTATTAATTTTAGAAGAGAAAACCTTGGGAAAAGAACAAACCTCAGAAGAAGAAGGGTGGTGCTAGGAAAAAGAATCAAAAGCAAACCATCAAAAAGGTAGTATTTTCATAGCTATGCGTAGGGATATTAACCATTTTCCCTAGGTCGGAGGCATTTCACAAAATCCTGCTCCTATTTGTGTTGAAGGCGAAGATAAAAAAGAAAATAAGCCCGATAAGGAGGAAGATGATGAGGAAGATGATGTGCGCTCAGACTTTTGCTAATAATATCGCGTGGTCTCATGTATCAAATAGTTTCAGGCGTCATTGTCTTCGTCTGGTCTGCCTCCCAAGTTTGATGAGGAAGAGAGCGATGTTGACGATGAGTGGACAGATAGTAGTCCTAAAAAGGTTGATATCCATTGTCATAGGAGTAGCGACAGAATTTGCCTATCTGATCATTTAGGTGACGTTTGATGCGAAATCACACAAAACACATTTGGTCCATAGTCCCTACTTCCCTTCAGAAAAATATGAGTGGTGGTGTGTGTTTCGGATTTGATTTTGAACACGAACTTCACCGCAGTTTCTAATTCTAGGTGGTTGGTTCTGACTATGCTTGACAAGAAACAGCGCCGATTGGTCTGTCCTACAGTTTCGTGTAAAACTTTAGTGGACAAACAAACTGTAAGTTTTTTGAGCGATCTTTGAGCTTGAAATAATTTTTTAAATTAGCTAATTATTCGATTTGTAATAAATGAATGGAGGAAGGCGACTAGTGACGCTTGCGGGCAAATCATAATTATAGCTAGCGCAAGGGATACCTCTTGCGTCGAATTTTGAAAACGTGAACGCTTTCACCCTCATTATCCTCGCAGAAAATTAAGCTACTTGAGGAATCGTTATATTCAAGGTAATCCTAACTCAAATTTGCTAGTTTGTTAAACTGTCGTTTCCACAGTGCTTAGAAGATGCGGGGTTTTTTCGACTTGTATATACCGGTTTTCCTGCTATAGCGGTCTGCAGGACGCGTCAATAGAGTGATTTGTTTCATTGTTTTC